AACACTTCCTTGGGAATTTAAAACATGACAGCTATTTGTATCTCAGTATCTCTGAAAATAGATACATTATGGTTGTACCTATTATGCTCAACAATATTAACAGGAAAAATGTTTCAAATTCTCAGCACTCAAACACTTTTCATAGAACAGGGGATATTTTATTCCAGGATAATATGCATGCACAAAAGTATGCCTATTATAAAAGAACAGATCACTACCATCTCATATGATAAACACACCCAGCTCGAGAAGCAGACTCAGAAACAGTACCTCATCCACACCCCTAGCAGCCTCTCTGCTCTTGCTAGCTAGTCCTTCTCCCGACATTGAATAGCTCCAGTGCTAACTTTTTCTGGGTTTTCTTTTTAACTGTGTATAAGTGGACTCATACAAGAAGCACTCTTCTGTGTATCTGTCTGCTTTGCCTCAAAATTTTATTTATGAGATTTGTCAAGATCACTGAGTATTATCATAAATCTTTCACCCAGGATTCTCTCGTGCAAACACACAGTAAGAGTCCATCTGTTGGATACATGGTGGGTATTCTGGTCATTTCCAGTGTTGTGGCATGAACATTTTAGTGTCTTGTGGAACTGCAGGGTCATTGGATTTGCTTATGTTCTGCATCCGTAGACAGTTCCAGTCTGTGGGGTTTCTAGTCATTTCCATCCTCACCAACTCTTACTATGATCTCTGCCTTTTATCATTTTAGCCATTATGGTGCATTGTGATGACATCTCATTGTGTTCACAAGTGTCTTTTGAAAATCAGTGACTGTCTCACTCATTAAATCATGGCATTTACCCTTAGGGACACTTACCTTAAGGGATAACTGTCAGTATGTCTGTGAATTTTTAAATGTACTTACAATACCTTATGCTCAGTGGTCATCTTCCATCCTTAAAAACATCAGGTCACTTGTTATCCTTGATTTAATAGTCACTTCCTTTCTAATACTTTTCCAAAGTAGAGAAGGGAACCTCTGCTTATACCAGATATTATCAGTTTATTCCCTGTTACAGTTTGGATAAAATGCCCCCCAAAAATCTCTTGTGTTCAAAGTGTAGCTCTTGTAATAGGCTAGAACCCGAGAGCCCTCCCTGACTTCACCAGTAGAGTGATTCAGTGATAGATTTATAACTGGATGGCATCTAGGGGAGGTTTGGAGGACCTAGGAGATGGGGCCAAGCTGAAGTGAGTGGGCTATGACCTTGGGGACTATGTCTTGTCCTTGGCGCCTGCTCTCTGGCTCCTTGCCTTGCTCTGCCTATCAACTGCCATGAACACAGTGACTTGTTCCTTGCCATTCTGCTTCACCACAGCCCTGTAAGAATGGAACCAGCCATGAAACCTGGGGACCTGTGAGGCAAAGTAAACCTATCCGTCTTTGAGTGGTTCTCCTCAGGTACTCAGTCAGAGTGACAGCAAGGTGACGAGCACATCCCCATCAAGCTCAAGCATTGTAAAGATTTGCTATTGCTTAGACAACTTACCTGCTACCGCAATTCACATCAAACTACAGCAGGTAAGGCACCCCACTGTGCCCTGCCTGCTCTACTTCAGGAGCTTGTGATAGACAGTAAAGCAAATCAATTATACATGCGGTGCCAGCTCAGAAAATTCACCTAGCTCTTGCATTCCAGTTAGCCCAACTACCAAAAAAGTTGAGTTTGTTAAGAAACTCGATGACCCTTGATAATGTTATCGCTTGTGTCTAGATGCCTCCCAAAGCCTCATGCAGTCATAGGTGGGGCTTTTTCAGAGGTGGCTGGATCTATTGATCCATGGTGCAACACTAGACTCAAGAGCGCTCGATTAAGGGTGCGAGTGCTACCCATCCTAAGTAGCCTGGATAAGATATAAGGGATAGAAAGAGCTGTGGTCACCCCACGTTGCTTTGCTACCTTCTGCCCACCATGAACTGTTTCTCCTCTGCAATCCCTGCCCGCCTTACTGCCCTGCTTGGAAGCCAGCTGACTATGAACTTTAGCCTCTACAAACTGTGAACTAATAAGCCATTCCTCCTGTAACTTTAGATGTCTAGTATTTTGTCGCAGCAACAAGAAAAATAGCTAAGACAGATAACATACTTTTTCTGGTACTCTTTACTTGGGCTCTGTAAAAAGGCCTTTCCAGTCAATGTCCATCATCGTTGACATGAAGAATTTTTCAGTAACATTCATGGAAATACATTGAAAACACTTGGACTTTCAAGTGATTGTGCCTCAGACCTCTCAGAGAAGCTAGTTGTTTGAGTACTTGTTTCCTTATCTCTCTGGCAGCAAGTCTTATGCATCTTCCAACAACACTAAATGACCAAAGGGCCTACTCTAATATGTCACTGAGTAGTTCTGAGATTTCTCTTTAGCCGTTTTTACCATACAAAGCAGAACAAGTGCTTAGTCAATGAATTATGGGCCTTTCACAGTATTAAAATTAAAAATATCAGATTTAGTCAAAGCTTGTAAAAGCCTGGATTGAATATTCTATGAGCTTTCCCAGATACAAAAACTTGGTTATATCTTGCCTATTGTGATGGTTTCACATCCTCATTAGCTATTTCAAGACTTAATTTCCACTCAAGAGCACCTACTGAGGTCATCAATAAAACACCACACTAATTTCTTAGCTGCTGTTGATGCCATTAGATTGCCATTCATCTGACCCTGGGGTCAGCAGGAAAGCAGTGAGCGCAGGGGGCTGAGGGCCTCAGGGCAGCCCTCACTTCCCTAGGGCCTCACCATGGATCTGATCCTCTGCTCACAGCTTCTGCGGGGCAATCAGGCAAATCAGGTGTCCATTGGGTGGGGATTAGGTAAGCTGAAATGAGCTATACACTGTACACCCACTAAACCAGGCCAATAGACATGTGATGTATTACTAAATGGTGACCTGCTTAGAGAAGACATGCAAATTTCCATTTGAGAAAATCCTTCTTGCACCAAACAGTTCCTATGACTAGGGAGTTCTCTTTTGTATGTCAGCTTGGAGGATAGTGCTTCAGAAAGCACCTTGGCAGCCTCCGCACCAGACAGATGAGGAATCAGAGCCCCCAGAGGGAGGGCAGAGGCCGCACACACTGAAGGCTGAGCACGCGGGCTCCAGTAATAGGAAATGCACTCTCAAATCCAAACTTCTGCCACTTCCCCTCCATGTGAGCTTGAGCTAGTTATCTTACTCCTTGCAGCTTCTTTCTTCAGCAGTTGACCTAAATAATATAAATGTTCGTGGCTAGGAATTGTATCTCAATGAAACCAGTCTGAGGAAGGAGGGAGGCACAGGAGGAGGAAGCCTCAAGGACAAGGCTTGAAACTGCAGAGAGATTTCTAGCTGAGCCCCAAGGCATTTTTGTCCTGATTATCTCTGCATCCCTGCTGTGCTTAGCGTAGGGTCTGGCACATACTAGATACTTAAAAGTCATTATTGAAGAATAATCCCCAAGAAATCTTAAAAGTACCTCCAAATGCAAAGTGGGTTCCATGCCTATTCTTCTGTCGTGGGCGATGCAGATGACTCTAGGACTTACACATAGAAATCACTGAAGAGGGTGATACCTTCCGGTTCAGTGATGCCCTGCCAAAGACACGTCCACACCCAAGTCCCTGGCACCTATGAATATGTCTTATTTGTAGGAAAGGTCTTTCAAAATGTGATTAATAAAAGATCTTCAGATAAGAACAGCTTGGATTATCCAGTGGACCTTAAACCCAAAGACCGTGTCCTTGTAGGAGACAGAAGACGTGGAAACAAGGAGATGTGGCCCTGTGAAGATGAGGCCAACTGGAGTTCTGCAGCTCAAGCCTACTCAGGCCAAGGTTGCTGAGCCAGGAGAACTGCACGCAGAGGCCAGGTGAGTTCTCCCCTGAGGTCCTCAGAGAGAGCAGGGCTCTCCCCGCCGAAGTGCTGATGTCTACCTTTTGGCCTCCAGATCTATGAGAAATGCAGGAACACAGACTCCAGTCAGAAATCCCTGCTGCTGGAAGCCACCAGCTAGCTAGTGATTTGTTACCGTAATCCTAGGCAGTGAGTGCCCTGACCTGTGAGCCATACCTCGCCTGTCACAGGAAGCCCGGTATTATCCCATTCGGTGATTTCTGTGCGTAAATTCCACAGAATAGTCTGCATTCCCCATGACAGAGTAGCAGGCAGGGTACCTACCATGTATTTGGAGGCACTTTTACGATTTATTGTAAGTGTCCTTCAGTTTGACAAAAAAACTACAGTAAAAATTAAACAACCAACCCTAAATCTTATGCAACTCTAAATGTGAACACTGAAGATGAGAGAAGGCATGTAACTTGGTAACTTGGCCAAGTTCTCTTGCAAACAGGAAGCAGAGCGCCAGGCAGCAGCCTCTTTCCTTACTGCCATGCAGGCCTTACCCTAAACACCAAAGGGCCTTGGGTCAGGAAGACCCTGGGAGAGAAGTGAAAGCCTTCCAACAGTCCATTCCAGGCGGAGACAAAGACGCCCTTTGTGCTCAGCACCAGCATCCACCGTCCAGCTGGACCTTATGACACAGGCAAGTAAAGATCAAGGACAACGAGAAAAGAAACAGGAAGGGGAATCCAAGGGTCTGTGGAGGGGGTCTGGGTTGGGGGCCCATTAAAAGGAGACTTGGAGCAAACACCCAATGTTCCTGTTCCTGCAGTAGCAGAACATGCTCCTGCAGGGCCCGACCAGTCAGCGCAGCTTGCTGTGATTTTGGAGGCAGGCAAATACGACTGTCCATCTGTAGCCTTGTCACTTATGCTCATGTCACCTTAAATGAATGAGTTTCAGTAGTGCTTGGTAATAGCACTAGCTTGCAGGGCGGTTGCAAGACACACATGAAGGCCATGACTCAGCCTGGACATTCCAAACCCCAGTTCTGAGCCCAGCCGGTTGACTCCCACCCCGTGGTGCACTTACTGTGGACCCTAGGTCCCTTACCTCACTGTGCCTGCCCCATGGGAAAGTAGCAATGCTTAGAATGAGCTAACCTCTCTAAAGCACTCCAGGGAAGCAGCTCAGGGCCAGGCATAGCGGCAGCTGAGTGCGTCCCGGCGATGCGGCGGGAGGAGCTGGCCAGAGGCAATGCCACTGTGCAGACAGCCAAGGAAGCAAAGGGGCCCGCCGAGGCCACCGTCACAGAGCTTCGCTGGCACACGTTCTCCAAAATGGCCGTGTACCTGCCCAGGGAGCTGACAGCCAACAGGGAAGACTGTAAGTTCCTGGAAAACATGACTAAATTAACCAGCTTAAAGTATCTGGAAATGAAAGATACTGCTATAATCATTGATAGAAGCTTGAAGGACTTAAATCAGAAGTATGCTGAACTACAGCCTCACCTGGATCAGATAAATGTGGTTGAGGAGCAGGTGGCAGCACTTGAACAGGCAGCCTACAAGCTGGATGCACGTTCACAAAAACTGGAAGCCGAGTAAAGAAGCTGGAGAAGCACTAAAAAACTTATTCCTATTGCATAAGGCCTTTTTAAAATATGGAATAATATTTTACAGCATCTGAATCCTGAGGCTGACAAAATGTCAAAGTTCCTCAAAAGGCAATCTCACTGGTCACGCCAGGAACATCTCAATGTTGAATAAGCTCGAGGGCAGTGAATACTCCTGGACCTTCTTTGAGGCCATATCTGGCAGAAATTCACACTTACAGCTCCTCGTTACCTGAACGCTTCGTCATCCGTTCAGTACAGACACTCTGGAAGTTCAGGATAAACCTGGGCTTTCAGGTAGAAGCGAATGAGAGGACCTATTTTTCTGGCAGGGGTTATTATTTTCTTAAGTGACTGGTTTTGGAGTTACTGTGTAAATTTTGTTTTTGCTTTTGGGTTTTTTAAATAGTACTAATGTTATTAATGAGTGTAAATTTAAAAAGGAGAACAAAAAAAACAATAAAGCACTTAGAATGATGGCTGGCAGAATAGTACCATGTGAGTGTTTTCTAGGTTAAAAATTAACAGGAAGATACACCTGTGGTAGGGGAGGATTTTCCTCAACGCCACACCAGGGACTTTAACTCACTCAGAATTTGGTTTAAATGCAAAAACAGCATTTGGTTGCATTGTAATGCACCCATGTCAGTTTTTGCTTTTTTTTTTTTTTTTTTTTTTTTTTTTTTTTTTT